GAGTCTCCTGCCTCAGCCTCCCAAGTAGCTGGGACCACAGGTGCCCACCACAACGCCCGGCTATTTTTTGGTTGCAGCCATCATTGTTGTTTGGCGGCCCAGGCTGGTTCAAACCCGCCACCTTAGGTGTATGTGGCTGGAGCCTTAGCCACTTGAGCCACAGGCGCCGAGCCCAGAATCTGCATTTAACAAGAGCCCTGTGTGGTTCATGAGCACATTCAGGTGTGCAAAGTGCTAGGCTACAAGGTGGGGAGAGTTCTAGAATATTTAGGTTAGAAAACTTCCAAAGATATGTCCCAGGGAGGAGCAAGGAACAGAAACCGACGAGGAGGGATGAAGGTGGCAAGGAAAGAAACGGCCACCCTAGAGTGCCAGGCTTGGGGGGCCTACCTGGCCTCCCTCCTTTACAGAAATGCAAACTGAGCCCTGCAGGGGATGGGACCTGCCCAGCTGTAAGGGTGACCTCGAGGCACTCAGTCATCCTCGGGCTTGATGAGGTGGCCGCTGAAGGTGATGTAGGTGTCGACGTCATCGCTGTAGACCGCATTCTCACGCTCACGCTTGAAGAGCCGCACCCAGACCCTGTCGCCAGGCAGCAGGGCCAGCATGACACTCTGGCTCTGCATGATGCTGCGGTCGCTGGGCTGCGCGTACAGGATGACGGCCGCCGCTTCGTTGTGCATGACGTGCACGTAGGTCTCCTTAAAGTTCCAGCTGTGCACGTTGAGGCTGAAGAAGTAGAGGCCGTGCAGGGGGGCGACAAAGTGGCCGGTGGCCATGTCGAAGTGCCTGTCAGGGTTCACGAAGACTGTATCGAAGATAAGCGGCTGGAAGCCCTCGCTGCTGTGCAGGGCCGTCTTGCGGCCCACGGAGAAGGCCGAGGAGCGCGTCTGGCACGGGGCACCCGGGCTGCCCGCCTGCCCCTTAGAGCCTTTGGTGCCCTGTGGGCCACGGTCCCCTCGGGAACCCTCCTTGCCCAGCTTCCCAGGTGCACCCAGTGGACCTCGGTCCCCTTTGTCACCTGTGAGGACAAGTAGGGGAGAAGTAAGCGTGGGCACCTGGGCTTGCACTAAGGAGGTACTGCCAGGCCCAGAGAAGAAGCTAGCATTTATTAAACACCTGCTGTATTCCAGACATTACCTCCCCGTGTGGCCCTCTAAGAAAACACTGTGACCATCTCTACTCCACAGAAAGACTTGCCCAGGGACACCCAGCTCAGGAGCAGAAGGGGCGGTGCTCAGCATCTGATCTGTCCCCAGAGCAAACTTGTTCCCCTCACCAGACAGGGAGGGTCTGACTGTGGTCCCTGGGTTAGGAGCCAGGCAGCCCTTGGTTGGTGGTCCTACCCTCTCCATGATCTAGGACATCTCATGGTTGGGGCCTTGGTTTTCTTGTCTATATTTTGAAGAGGACTGTGCCCACCTCACAGGAGTATTTGTGAGCCTCCCACAAGATGTCAGGTGGGAGAGCATTTTGCAAACTCTGCAAGCATGAGGCAGGACAGTTCACTCAACGTGGCCCAGCCATCTCAACTTGCCCCAGCGTCTGGCAGCATATGGTCCCCAGGCAGCCACAGCCCTGCATGGTCCCTAGACCAGGCTGGCCTTGAATATAAGAAAAGCAGGTGACCACCCATGTCTGGAGAGACCTGACCCCCACATAGCTCCCTGATGCCTGTCACAGTGCTGCAGCCATGCCTTTGTGTGGCCTAGAAGGCCCTGGGTTTCCCCAGGGTACCCAGGACAATGGATAGAGAAGGGGTAGAAAGGAGGTCACAGGCCTGTGGGGGCAAAAGCTGGAACAAAAGGGGCTGCAGAGTGGCCCTGCGAAGAGCTTAGGAACAAATCTTGGCTCTGTCCCTAATAGCCATGTGATTCTAGGAGAGTTCCTCAATGCTTAGAAACTCAGTTTCCCCATCTGCAAAGTGGGAGGCATAAGAAAGTGCACTCACAGGGCTGCCATGAGCAGAGAGAGAGGCTGAGGAGGCCAAAGGTCTGGCCACAGACATCAGTCCTTCCCAGGCCCCACAAGGGAAGATATTTCCTTCATGCCCAGTGTAGGAGTGCAGGGAACCAGCCCTCACCTGGACAGACCCCAGGGCTCCCTGCTCCTTGTCCCCTACCTCTGTGCCCACAAGACATTGGAGGGATCCATCTGAAACTTAGGTCCTATTCAAACCCACCCATGCTCCCCATCCCACTCAGAGGAGCCTGAGTCCTGACTGCAGCCAGTAGGGACCGGGCCCTGCATGAGTTGAGCCCTGTTATCTATCCAGCCCTGTTCCCAAGAACACTTCAGGCATCCCCTGCCCCTGCAGGAGCCCCAGGCTGGCCACCCCACTCAGTGTACAACCCTGAGCCCAGACCTGCACTCTCAGTGCCCCTCACCTGAGCACCTTGTCACTCCCCAAGGCATTTATTGCCATCAAACATTCCATCCCATTAACTTAGGGCAGGAATCCTCAAATTTTTTAAACAGGGGTCCAGTTCACTGTCCCTCAGACCATTGGAAGGCTGGACTGTGGGCCCTGGGACAAGTCGGCTGCTAAACAGGACAGGCAGCAGTGGCAAAAACACCCGGTGGGCTGGATAAATGGCCTAGGAGGGCTGCATGTGGCCTGCAGGCCGTATTTTGAGGACGCCTGACTTAGGGAATACATTTATTGCTCACTGTCTACCCCCCATGAGGAAGGACGCTCCTGGCAGTGGGCATTTTTGTCTAGATGGTTCCCATGCCACCCTCTGTGTTCAGAACAGTCCTGGCACACAGTGGAGACTCAGTACAGGCATGACAGAGAAGGTCTGGGACAGTTCTCTGTTGTGGCTCCTCCCTGCCCCCACCAGGCTCAGGATGGGTACTCACCTTTCAGGATGGTGATGTTAATGTAGGGCCTGACCTCAGGCAAGATGTACGGGAGGGCAGAGGAAGAGGCTGGGGACACATCTGCAGCATCAGCAGGGGCCAGGGAGTCACAGCACCGTTGGCAGCCCCTCTGGGAGGTGGAGGCTACAACCTCCCCAGAGGTGGGCTCCTCTGTGGGGACCCCAAACACCAAGAGAGGGAGCAGGAGGGCAGCCCAGAGAGGACCCTGGGTGGCTATCCCCATGGTGACCTGAAACAAGAAAGGAGGGATAGAAACTACATTTCACTCAATACTGTGCCAATGCCCAGGGTAGCTGCCAGCTCCCTCAGCAAACACATTCCTGACATAACTTGGGAGGGAATGTTATTGCCCCAGTTAACAGACAAGAAGACTGAGGCCTGTGCAGGAAAGCAGGTTCCCATTAAAGGACTTGTGGCAAGGTAGACCTAGACGTCGAGTCTCCAGCACCTTCAGCTTCTGTCAACCATGTCGCAGAGCCACAGCAAAGAGACGCAGGTCCCAGGAAAAGATTCCCCAGCTGCCCATCCGTGAGTGGCAACCGCTCAAATGCTTTTCTCATCCTTGGGCCTCTTTCTGACTTATGTTCTTGGCATTGCCATACACATGCCATACATACACATGCTCTGTCTGGGCAGCATGACAGAGTTAGTGGACACAGGGACAAATGCAAAGGATTCTCTGCAGGCTTGTTCTCATGCGGCTGGGCCTACACTCTAGAAACGACCATCATGGTTCTGACAAGAGACATAGGAGGGTTCATTTATTCTAGCAGATGGGAAGCAACGTTCATGAGAGAAAATGAACAGGGTTATTCATAGCGAGGGTATGGCTGTGTCACTGAGAAATCGGGAGTGGGTGTGCTGAGTAGTGGACTGTAGGCTGTTACTAGCCCCTACTTAGCCTTTGCACAAAGTAGAAGGCCACCCCTCTGAATGGACAAATTAGAAACACAAAAGAAGTCCCCTTTGGAGGAATGCAAGGCTGAGAGTGTAGAGCTTGGAAGGGCTGGTACTAGCCCCCTACACCCCTCAGCACCTTTGTGCAGTCAACACCCTATACAACCTCAGCTGAAGCCCTGCCAGGAAGGCTCCAGACAGAGTTAACTCATTGGAAGGTGGTTATGTCAATCATCATAGACCTGCCAATCAGCTGCTGAGGTGGTAAATTGAAATTAAGGGGCAGGACTAGGAAGTCTGGAAAATTCAAGGATCAGAAGTCCCAGAGTTTGTGAGGATCTGTCTTAGGCCTTGGCCAAGAGAGGGTCAGGAAGTAGCCTGGACACCAGGCCCTGGAGACAGGCCCGAGGCTGAGTGGGCAGGAAGCCAAGCAAAGAACCTTTGAGGTGGTGACAAACTTTGGAGGCTGGCGGTGAGTTATCGCAGAATCAGAAACTCCGCTTTTGAAACCAGACTGGTTTTTACACATCTGGCGTTTCTTTGTTTATTTCCTTTTTGTTCTCCTTTAACATTTAGTACAATTCAAAAATATTTTTTCTGTGGTTAATACGCGTAGAAAAGGTAAAATTATTACTTTGTAAAATGCCATCCTTTCTCACTGAGCACGGCAGTAAGAGCTGGGTTTTGAAGGTGCAGAGGCACTGTCCCCCTCCTCCCTACTCCCCAGTTCTGTAGTAACAGCAGGAGGTGGGGGGGGCAGGCAGTCTGCAGAGCCACCCCCTTCCCAAGCTCCTCTCTGCCCACCCTGGTTGAGTTTCCTGGTTCTGCCCCACAAGGCAGGTTGCATCCTCAGGGGGCCTCACCTTCTCTCTCTGACATTATCATTCTTGCCTTTTAATTGGAAATTACAGATCCCAGTGGTTTTGAGAAGGGCACAGCTCCGTTCTTTTTCCTGGCCATATATGTGACCTCATGAGAAAAGCTGAGGTTTTCGAAGGGAGGTCCCAGAGTAGTTTACAAGCTGTGTGGCCTATGAGTAGTGGCTTAACCTCGCTGGGCTTCCCACTCCTTGACACTGAGAGGAGAGGACATCTTTGCCTCTTTTCCAGTTTATTCGAGGGTAATTCAATCCAGGAAAAATGCCTGACTTGTAAAAGACTTCTAAAATGTCTGTTCTGACCTCTTCCCTCTGCCTGCCTGGGATGGGAAGAAACAGAACTTCTCCCAGAGGATTGGCGGGATTGTTGGCATTTCTGTTTCCTATTGGCCCAGCCAGATGGGAGTCCAAAGCTCTGAGACACAGACCTGTGCCCTGAGGAGCAGGAAGCAGGAAGCCTTTAACAAGAGGAATGAATAATAACCACAGCTAGGATCAGTGACTAGCCCCAGGGGAGGGAGCCAGGCAGGGACCAAGTGTGGGGGCCCATGCCAAAAGCAGGGGAACTTTTGGGGTCCCTGCTGCTTTCACTGAGGATTTGAGACCTCTTTGAGGGAGAGGGGTGGCAGGGTGTCCCTTCTTATTCCAGAAGAGCTGAACAGAGTTGGCATGTATCCAGACATGAGCTAGGAACAAGGGAGGGCAGTCCTGAGCCCTGGGCAGGGGGTATGGGGAGGGGAGAGCCTAGAGAGACTGGCAGGTCAGAGGAAGAGAGCAGGGCCTGAGATTTGTCCAGGAAGTGAGGAGAGAGGAAAGGAGTCCCAGGCTCTGACCTCAGGCCCCAAACTGAGGAGTCTTGGGTCACTCACCCTGTGTCCTGCGGCCTCCCACGGTGGCTCACAGACCCTGAGCCACTGCACAGCCTCTGGCTCCTTGGCCCATGTCAGCAATACTAACTGATTGTTGGCCCAGACCCCCAGGCCCAGCTGAGAAAGGAGGGAGAACGGGATACCGGGAGGCAGGGCCGAGGGCGGAGGGAGCTGAGCTGGCCTCCCGCGCCCCTCCCCCTGCTCCCTCCTCCAGCTCTGGGCTCTGCAGAGATAAAGGGAACCAGGATTTCCTCTGCTTAACTCTTTGGTGGTCCAGTGGGGTCTTGCTTGATTCAGAGCCCTAGAAAGTCACAGCAGAAAGGGTCTGAGGCCCCCTCATGTGTGGACTGGGAACTGGACCTGGGGGGGGGGGCAGGAGCCCTAAGTGGCCCATTTGCTCTGAGTCACAGCTGCAGTGCAGGCCACTGCCAGCACCACTGCCCCAGGCTCAAATCTTGGCCCCCGCTACCCACTAGAGAGTGACTTGGCAGTCACTTCACCTCTCACACCCTAGGTGTCCAGCACTCTAGTCCCTGGTCCCCCCTGCTCAGAGCATGTTTGCTGAGGGAATGAGCAGGCATGATGTCTCATGTACCGTGTAAGGATGGCACCAGGTCAGTCACCCATGTCCAAGTGTATTGAAGTCTGCTTCCTCTACCTGGAACTCTGCCAGTGTTACTAGTTCATCCTCATGGTCTGCTAGAACCCAAGAATCATAGGAAGGCAACCTGTATGCCCCTGTGTCTAGGCAGGTCCTGCCTTCTGGCTAGGCTGGGAAGTCTGGGAAAGGCTGCAGCCCTGGCTTCCTGGGACCAGAGACCCTTATGCAAAGACATGTCCCTCCGCCACCCTCCCCTCTACATTTGCTAAGACTTAATGCCTGGGCCAAGTCTCTCTAAGGCAGTGGTTCTCAACCTCCCTAATGCCGTGGCCCTTTAATACAGTTCCTTTGGGTCTCAACCCACAGGTTGAGAACTGCTGCTCTAAGGGCTTTCTGTCCCATAGGGTGTTCCTATCCATTATTTCCTACCCCAGCCTCAGGACAGCTGGGAGAGGGAGCTACATGCAGTCATGCAGCTGAAGTGACTTGTCCAAGGTCACACAACTAGTGCAGGAGAGCCACCCTACAGAAGGGAAGGCTCTCTAACCCACTAGGGTGCCCACAAGGACACCCTGGAGCATGGGGGTAGGGCAAAGGCTTCTGTTCTGGGCCTGCACTCCAGGAGGAGGGAGGCACGGGTGTGCTGAGACCAGGGAGGGATGGATGTTTTTAAGTCCAGGGCTTTGGGTGCTAAACCCAGTCACCACTCACAGGTGGGCAAAGTGTCCTTGACCAGGGCTCATTTCTAGGCTTCAGTTCCCTATTGGTTTGGGGATAATCAAACAGCAGAATATCCTGGAAGATCCTTAGAGATGATCTAATCCTATTCCTTAATCTAACCAGCAGAAACACTGTAGTCCAGGGAGGACAAGTCTTTGGCCCAGGGTCACATTGCACACTGCAATCAAAGCTGGGATCAGAGCCCAACCCTCCTGACTACTAGACTTGTGCTGTTTCCCTTCCAAACTGACTTGGGGTCATCCGGGTTTATTCAGGGGCCCAAGGGACCCCCAAAGGAAGGCAGACTGAACGACTGAGGCTCCTGGGAACACCAGCAGGGTGCACTTGCCCTGCTTCCTACACAGCCCTGCCTCCTATGTCACCCTGCCCCAAGCAGCATTCCCAGGGCACAGAGCCAGGGATGTGGAGGGAGGGAGCCAAGGGGAGCCACCCTGCCTGCCGCCACCAAGGGGAAAGGGCTGAGTCAGCAGCACTGGGTGGGAGACTGCTTCTGGCTGTCCCTGAACCCTGGGGCTTAGAAAGACTGATCTTGTGAGGAAAGGGAGATGGAGAGAGATGGACAGGAATGGGAAGAAGCAAGCTGAGGACATAGGAACAGTTTTGTCAAGAGCCAATTTTGTGCCCACACTGTGCACCATTTCACACTCAGCAACCCCTCTGAAGGGAAGCCTGTTTATTTCACTGAATGGGTAAGGAGGCTGAGGTCTGGAAAGGCAGGTGACTGGCCAGGTTCTGGGGCCAGCTCCTTTGGCTCCCAGTCATTCGATGCCCCGGAGAAGGGTCCCCAGGTCCAGAGCAGCTGGCTAGGGGCAGAATAGATATGAAAGTAGAACTCTGGAATATTACACTTCAGTATTTTTCCTCCTGCTCTCTTTTGCCAAGCCAGAAAATCCCTCCATTTATGGGTCATCTTTTGTCTCCGAGCCATTTGAGGATCTTTTCAGCTGGTCAGATACCCTGGAGGCAGAGCTCCAGCCCTAGGGCAGAAAAACCTGGTTATGACTCAGTTCTATCTTCTCCTAGCTGTGTGACCTTGGGTGAGTTTTCTTAAGTCTCTAAGCCTTGGCGTCCCTGGGCCAGATGGACATGAGGAAGCCAGGACCATCAGAGCCGCCTGGTGGAACCTCCAGTGGGAGTGCTCCCAACTGGCCACCCCTCAGTGCTGCTCCCTGGTTAAACCCTGCATATGCTGAGGATGTGTGCCCACTCTCCTTGTGCACACCCTGGTTGGAAGCCTGGGACTCAGGACAATAGCAATGCCAGGAGGAGGAGCAGCAGCTGGCCAGGGATGCCTCACATCACCCTATCATAACTCTTCTCAGCAAAGGTATAACCCCAAAGCAGAAGGCCTGAGCCCTTGTCACCAAGGCCAGAAACCTAGGGTACACAAGCAGCACTTCTCCAGCCACCCTCCATCCTGCTCCCACTCCCAGAAGATAGCTTTGACTCCCACCAGGCCCTGTTCTGAGGGGTTTCCAGGTCTTATCTAATCCTTCCACAGTGTTCTGAGGCAGACACAATATTATTACATTTTACAGACGAGGAAAATGAGGCAAACTCTGCCTGAGAGCTAGTCCCCTGGCCACCGTTCTGTACTACGGGGCCACATTACAGCCCAGGGCCAGGAGGTGTAAAAACAGGCACATTTCAGCGCTTACAAAGCACCCAGTGCTTCACGCATTTAACAAACAAAATGTGTGCCTGTCTATAATATGTATGATTCCTGGAGTCGGCTAGGTAAATTGTGAAAGACAAGTCACAAATCTAATTGTTCCAGCGGTTATCAATTTAAACAAAGGAGAATGTGAGCGCCACCTGCTGGGAAGAGTCTGTGCCTGCCCCCAGCCGACCCGCACCCACCCGGCGCCCCCAGTCCCACCCCCTTAGTGAACATTCTCTCACTCCTCCCCCCAAATCCAGCACTCTTTGCAAAAGGGGCAGGGGGTCCAAAAGGATCCTCCCGCTCCCGGGCAGCTCCCCCGGCTTCCTCTAGCGCAGAGAACTCTAAACCTGGTTCAACCGACCCCTCATCCCCACCCCAACTAGCCCAGTGCCCCTGGGTGAACTTCTCTGGATTCAGTTTCTCCGTCTGATCCCACTGGTGTTAGGCTAAGTTGGGTGAGTGCAATCACATTTTACACGAGGATTAAACTGAATCCCAAAAGACCTAGAGAAGACAAGCGTAGCGTAGCTCTGCACTCCGTCGAGGACCCTATTCTTTGGGCCTGCAACTGTCTCCTTCCCCAAAGTCTATTAGTGTCAGTGCCAGCATGATAGAGTGAGCGGCCAGCACCACTCTCCTCACTGCAAAAGTAAGAGGGAGCCCCAACCATCTCCACCCGCGGTGGCCTCAAACACTTGGAAGACTGCTGCCGCCCGCAGCACCCTTAACACAGCCCAGGACCCAGCCAAGTGAGACCCACGCCGCGGGAATAGCAGCCGCGCGAAGACTGGGATCAGGTCCCCAGGCCTACACTGGAGGAGGGAGGAGCCACAGTCGTGCCAGGGAGGGGCCTTTCGCTTTCGGACCCCGCTGAGGCGGAGCAGATTGGAATACGGCCGAGTCTGCCCGAGTATTGCCGAATATAGCCGAGCAGAGCCGAATAAGCCCGAGAGGATCCGACTGTGGCCGCATAGAACCGAGTCCGGCGCGCCAAGAGCAGCTGCTGGGCTCGCGCCGCTCGCGGAGGGGGCAAGGCCCGAAGGTTCCGCGGCGCCTCCTGCCGGGCACAGAGAGCACAGACCTCGCTGGAGCCACCAGTTTCCTGGCCTGGCTCCCTAGTCCTGAGACAGTTATGGGAGATGGATGTTGAGCCCATTTTACAGATGAGAAAACTGAGGCTCAGAGAGATTCTGAGACTAGCCCAAAGGCACCCAACTAAGAAGTGGTAGAGCTAGGGTTCCAAAATTATTGTGGCCCAAAAGCTCACCTGCCACTGCCTCCCACATAAGCAAGCATTGTGTGTTTTATTGTCTCCTAACAGGTGCCATTCAGATGAGCAGGTGTAAGGTCCCAGCCAGAGCACAGAGATGACCTGTGGTCTCACAGAGACTAACCGAGCTCTGGAGCATGGTGACCCAGTGTGCAGAGCCAGCCGTTCCATGTGCAATTTTGACATACTTGCTGGCCATTAAAGCCATTAGGTCGAAGGGCTGAGAGGTCATGTCCTCTTCCTTCTGCAGGGCCCACCTCCATCCCAAGGCTGAATTTCCCCACCTCTAACAAAATGATGGTAGAGAAAATGGGCTCTGGGAAGGCCACCACCCAAGGTATCAAGGACCCTGGACAACAGAGTGTGCCCTGGGCATTTTCTCTGAGCCTATGAGAAGGTGAAGGCTGGCCTCCCACACACATGTGCACGTGTGTGTATGGGCCTTCATCTGCTAGGCAGGCCTGTGCCAAGGCCATGAAACTTGCTGGGGGGTGGCAGAGCCTCTGGAAAGCAACTGAGGTCTTCATGGGACTGGGCTGACTCTGCCTGTTGAGTCTTCCCTGAGGACCTTGTCTGCCATGGCCAGTTCCCTCACCAGTGGCCTCAGAGCTCTCCTCCCTCCCAGCATCACTCCTGTCCACTCAGCTCACATTTTCGTAGTTTTTAAGAATCATGGGCACTGGCCCAGGGGCTGAGAAAACAGTATTTTGGGTCCTGCACCTGCCACTGTAACCCTGGGCAGTCCCATAATCATCCTGGGAATGCTGTCTTCAGATGTAA